TTGGTTAGAAAAGGCAGTTTTCCTCGCTGCTAAGAACTTGTAAGGGATGCCCCAAGGACTGGGGAGGCTTCAGTATTTATTTACTCCCTTTCTACCTAGGCGAGTCTGTTGGCATTTAAATGTTAAATCCCTGAGGATTGGGTTGGGGTTTCGTAGGATTTCGGTGGTGAGCCCTTTGAGAAGCAGTTTCCTGTTTGGAGTTAGACTTCCTTGCTAGAGGAGGGAAGAATGCGAGGCCTTATGTGTTATTTACGGTGTGCTTTAAAGTTGTGTGTGGATCTGGGGAGAGCAGTATGTGGTGCAGCCTGGTGGGAAAGGGAGTTTTTGTTGAGCCGTGTAACAATGCTCGTGGTGATAAAGTGCCGCGTCGGGCTCGGCGCTAGCTCCCTCCCTCAATCCTTCAAAAATCAAAAGCAGTTTTTAAAAGAGCTGCTTTAAAAAATAAATAAATAAAATCAAAGTGCGCCACCTGAAAGCCTAAGTTTGTGTCACCATAAGGTGTAAGCGTGTTCTGTCAGGGTAATCTTGATTTTGGTTTCGTAGAGTCAAGAGGGTGCTCTGGCTTGTTGCTGTGGAGGACGGCTGGTACTGCTTTGTACTGACACGCTGTTCACCGAAATGAATGATTTATGAAACTGACACATAATTTTTAGAAGCAGGACATACGCAGAATACTGCTGATGTGGCACCTTCTGCCCACACATTTGTTCTGTGGGGAATGCTTTAAGCACAGTGTGGATAGACACTCGCCCTGCTCTTCTGTGTTTTCTTAGGCTTTCTTACTTTTGGGTTCCCCTGCCTCCCTCTTAACTTTCAGGTGACTTTTGTACACGAAGCGCTCTTAACCTCAGAAGCAGTAAAACCTTTGGTATTTGGAACTTCCACATGGAATGCCTTTCTCATGGATTGGTTGAGCTTACTGGGTAATTGAGGGCTTTACTCCTTTAAGCATCAAATTATAGAACCACTTTATTCTCTTCGAATGAAAATCAGACTAAAATCAAATATGTAATTCTTTTCTATCTGGAATAGGGTGCAGAATATAATTAAACTTCTTGTTGACTTAGGGTCCTGATTTCAGATGTCAGGTACGGTGATGCCTTCAGTATCTGTTGATTGTATGTAGGACTGTTGATCAGATTCTTTCGCATTTTGAGGTGACTGGCGTACTTTTCTGCTTTGCTGTTGGGTGTGCTTGTCACTGAGATCAGTGTCTTCACCACCTCTGTTCTCTTAATTTTTTTACACGTGTGGAAAGCATGCTCATACCTACTGTATGAGATTCTCTCTTGAGAAAAGTGAATGAGTATCAATACTTGGATATTGGAGTATCTGTTTTGATTGTGCAGGGGCCTTTTCTTAGTGACTTCACCTTTGTGTTCTGGTTAGGTGAGTTGCCAGATTATTTTGGTTGCATGCTCTCACTTTGACTACCCAGAATGTGTTTCTAAGGTTGGTTACTTTCGGGCATTTGTAGCTAATTTTTGAAAGGTATTTGTCAGACATTTCCATTTGAATGTATACTTTAAATTTATTGGTCACGTACTAATTCATATTAAAATTATCAAAATCATTTAAATGAAGTTTCCTCTTATAATAGCAATCTCATTTGCTTGGTTTTGTTATCAGCAGTCTTTATTTCTTATGCTTTAAGATGACAGCTTAAAATATATACATGGTGTTTTATCAGGTTTGTCACAAAATGAAAAAATCTTTAATTTCTTTGTTTTGAAATAGTTTGGATACCTATTAAGTGATGGGTCCTACATTTAGGTGGTGCAGCTAGAGTTGAGACCATGGGCTCTGGACCCGGATAGCTTAAGGTCAAATCACAGCTCTTCTGTCTCCTAGCTCTTGTGACTGTTACCCTCTCTCTGTTCTTCAATTTCTTAATCTATAAATGGGATTAAAAATATTAACCTCATAGGCTGTTACGAGGATTGAAGGAGCTAATACTTCTAAAGTGCTTAGAATAGGGCCAGTGCCGGTTACTTTTATTTTTATTTTCAAATGATTTCCTTAATTTTTGCATCAACTTGAAAAAACCAGTTCTCAGTTTTTGACCTTGACTAGAAGCAGTGTATTGTATTTAAAGGACCAGTGGACTGAGATGGTTTCGTACTAATGCAGAAATTGAATTTATATATTGTATTCTTGCAAAAATAATGTAGGAAGATATGTTCAATATTGGAAATACTGTGAGAAAGTCCATTATTGGTAGTAGGTTTGGTAGTTTCGGAAAAACTAAGTAGGACGAGTATTAGGATAGACTTATGTATTTTATGTTAAACTAAAGCCCAGTTTTTAGTTTCTACGTCATAAATGTATCGTAAATTTGAGGCATTGTGTGTGAAGGAATTTGGGAAGAGCTTTAAAGAGATAGAAAACAGTACTTATTTCTTATTCCAGAAGTTCAGATCTGCATTTTGGAGTGGAATAAGACAGAAAGCAAATGGCACAAAGTATTACTATATGTAAACCTTTATTGTTGACCACGTAAGTGGAATTTTTAAAAAGATTTTAGAGAGAGGAAGGTAGAGGGAGAAAAAGAGACAAACATCCATGTGAGAGTGAAACATCAATAGGCCGCCTCCTGTACACCCCCTACTGGGGATCCAGCCCGCAGCCCAGGCATGTGCCCAGACCAGGAATTCAACCGGCAGCCTTTTGGTTGAGGGAACATCGTCCAACCAACTGAACCACACTGGTCAGGGCTAAGTGGATTTTAAGGACTGAGTCTCCTAATTTTAGATAAGGTTATGAAGTTTTTGGCTTAAATTATTTTTTATAAGGTCACATATATAACAAGTGAACACATTTAAATTATGAGGTAGTTTTAATGGACAAAAATAGACAGTTGGTTTAGAAATGATGTATGTACTTATATAATAGAGTAATTTATTGCTTTATTTTACTTTGTTGCACTGTTTGCAGAAAATCTTGATTCATATAGATAAGTAGTGGCAAATGAAAATTGCCTGCTACTGGCTCACCTTTCAATCAAAGGATTTACTTCATTTAATCCAGAGCGTGAAAAAGGAATATTAGGAAATGATTAGTTGTATTCCTTAATTAGTAAGTCCTCAGAATCAGATTTTTTCTAGGTATTTCAAACTTTGAATAGTTTTAATTCCGTAAAGTCACATTAAGGGTAAAACTTCACATTTATAATATTTTATATTTTCCTATGGAAACTAGCCTAAAGTTTGCCATGTGTCTCTCCAAATGAGGAGTTTGCAAAATAAAGTGATATTACATTAACTTAAGATCTGAATTTTAAAGTATTTAATATAAAGACTTATAAAGCATGAAATGCTTTGGGTTCATTCCATATTGCCAATCAAAAATATCTCGATTTTTTTTGATACATAATCCAAATTTGTGATTTTTTTCTCCTCCTTAGTCATAGAATATCTTTCTCTATTAAATGTATTTTAAGTGTGATAAATGTTTAATTTTTCTCACGAATGAAGAAATGGTATTTTGTCAAGGGCCTGAAGGTAGGCAAGGAAAGAACTGTAATGATTCTTGATTTGGATGAAAATAGGACAGAACTACAGATCTGCTTCCTAGCTAAACTGGTGAAGCAAGTTATGAGAGACGTGTAAGTGTTACTGTTCAGAAAAGAAAGCGTAATATATGATTGGATATGAATCATTAAATTGGGTAATCTTTATCATTGAGCTATGACTTTGCTTAGTTGTAGAATTTGATATGCAGCTACTAGGCAGATTGACCTCAAGTGGGACTTACATCTTTTTAGATGGGGGAGAGGCCAGAAAACTGGCCTGGGAAATCTGGATGGAGGTCCATCCATATATACCCACTGTCAGCATGAGGGATGTGTGTAGCAAAAGGCAGTGTGTAGACAGATGGAGCAGGCCAGCTTGTTGTGGGAGTGGAATGGTGGTTGGTAGCATGCTCTAGGTAGCAGTTCAGATTGGCATCTTGGGGGAAAAGGGAAGAAGTGGGGTTTGGTAGTAGGCCTTGAAGAGCTAGCCACAGGGAAGCGAAACCAGACAGGATACAGGTTTCATATGAGAGATACAAGGTAGATATTTGTTTCCAGGATAAGCTTGGTTATTGGAATTATTTAAGATGAGCCAAGCAGTGAAGTTGACAAGATGCTGGACTCCTAAGCTGTAGATCTTATATATTTTTTGTCTTGGATCACATTAGTTGTCTAAGTCAGTAGTTGGATCTATAAATGTGATATAAATGGTCCTGGATAAGTGGGATGAAATGAGATCATCTATCTAAATGTTTGAGGATATTCCCTGGTCACAATTTAGCACTCCCTTTTGTTTATTTGGTCCCAGGTATTTAATGTCTGCTTTTTGTTTGCTGCTATCTCTCTTTCACCTGAGTCATCTCTTTTCAGACCCAAGGCAAAGCAGATTACTAAGTTTCAGCACACCCTTGAATTTCAGAAACAAGCACACAATATTTTTAACTGCCAACATAACAGTAAACAGGCAAGTAAGGCACAAGAAACTTGAAAGTCCTTGATTTCACTGAAGTGGTGTTAAGCACCTATTAAAAAGGGGTTTTTTTGGTAGAATGTACTTGTTGGGGTTTTTTTGGTAGACTGTACTTGTCCTCCCTTACACTTCCATACCTCATTCCCTCTAGCTTTATTTTAGGCTTATGTTAGATAGATGTTCAAACTAGTTCATAGAGTCATTTTTTACCACCATTAAGCAGATAGAATCTCCTTCATAATCTTACTAGGGCTTTTCCGACCTGACTTTGCTATATGCAATACTTTCATTTTTCAGTCATAATCTTGGCTTTTAGCCCAAGTGAGGTAGGCATTTTCCTCTGGGCTCCTAAATGTTTCCTCCTGTGAACTAAATTTGACATTACTTTTGTTTTGTTTTGGATTTTGTTTGTTAGTTTCTGAAGGTCTCAGGTGCCTGGGTGTTCTACTGTCTTATTGTTTTCATTCAGCTGAAAACATACTTACCAGTTGTTTGCACTTAAAGGAGCTTTTACTCTAAGAAGAAACTCTCCTTTTAAAAAATTCATTATTCTAAATTGATATCTAGCCCAAAATGTTGAACCAGTGTCAGATAAGGCAGTGTTATGGACTCATTCTTTCCTAAAACTTACGCTGTCAATCCTTTCCAATGCCTTCAGTAGACTTGCATTTCATAATCTTTCAAAGTTTTATACTTTGTTAAACTTCCCATCATGATCCAATTCTGTTTCTCAACTAATTTGTAAGACAGAGATGACTAACATGGGATCCTAAATTCCAATGTCTATTTTAGTGTCAGCTCAGGTTCTTGATGGATGGTTCAATGTTAAGGTAATTGCAAGACAGCGACTGTGTAGCATCTAATCACTAGGAGTTTGTAGTAGAAAAATACTTTTAAGTATAGTAACAGTAATGAACAGTTACCACCATCATTAGGAGAAAGGCTCTGTCGCCTGGCTGGGTGTGGTTCAGCGGTTGAGCATTGACCTAGGATCCAGGAGATCGCGGTTTGATTCCTGGTCAGGGCATATGCCTGGGTTGCAGGTTCGATCCCCATTTGGGGGTGTGCAGGAGGCAGCTGATCAATGACAACTCTCTCATCATTGATGTTTCTATCTCTCTTTCCCTCTCCCTTCCTTTCTCTGAAATCAATAAAGATATATTTTTAAAAAGAGAGAGAGGCTCTATCACATCGTTAAGGAAAGGAGCATTAGATGAGAGATTAATCAAGACGAATTTGGGTTATTGTGAGTAGTGTAATTAATGCCATGCTAGACATTAGGGGAATTAGGACAAGTACAAGTTTTAGTGCCTCAAGTAGTTTACAGAAGTATTGGGGGTTGGGCATGTTATTAGAATCATCTGGATTTTTAAACTTTTCACAACCCCTGGAAACTGGTATAAATGCTCCTGCCGCTCCTTCCCTCCAGTTGTTGATGAGTG